TTTTTTTTTTTTTTTTTTTTTTTTGTGGAACCGAGAATTGAACTCAGGCCCTTCCACTTGCCAGGCAAGAACTTATTCTTATTAAAAAAAAAAGTATGGAATCCTATCTTTTAAAATTAAAATGGAACATTAAAAATGGGTTAGTAGACAATAAGTTTTCATTTTCTTCATTGAATAATTATTTGACTGTTTGATGTGTTAATTCAAGAATGAATGTATTTTATAAATAGTGTTTGATTATGAAGATTCAAAACCTGTGGGGCTTCACCCCTCCCCCCACCCCCCCCCGTTATACTACAGATTGAACCAAGAGTCTCTGCACTGAGCTATATCACCGGCCCTTTTTCTGTTTGAGACAGGGTTCTGCTAAGTTGTCCAGGTGGGGGTGGGGGGCTTGAACTTGCAGTTCTCCTTCTTTTAGTTTTGTAATCTCTTGAAAGCAATTGTGTGTCTTATAGGTTTTAAAGAGTATTGCTAGTAGTTTTTTCCTCCCTTAGCTCTGTGTGTGTGGGGGGGGGAACTTTTTTTTTCTTTCTTCTCAGAACTTCCTTTCACAAGTACTTAGTACAGAAAGGTAGCTGATGGACATTTTGTACTACACATATTTGACACTGTTCTTTATTGCTCTTGTGTGAGAACAACAGAATATCTGGCTGTGGAATTTATGAATCTGGGGCATTTTCTCTCTATATTACAGATTCTGATTGCTTGGGTCCTGTCCTTGGGAATTTTATCTACACCAGAAGTTTGGCATATCCTGTGCTGTCTTTTTTAAGTACTTAGTTCATTTGCATTTTTTCCTCTGTATACTAGGATTTTTCTTTATTCTTGAGACTATAAAATCCCATCAAACTATGACTACATGCTGGATGGTTAAGACCAAGATAAAGCAAGACCTATATAGCAAGAAATGTAACTTCTGTATCTGATAAGATCAGTCAAGTCCCCTCAGGATTTATCCTGAAACCCTGTACCGCAGTTTGCGGATCCTTTGTCAGTGTCAGCCATGTGGATGAGTCACGGCCATTGCTTGACCAATTTGCACTCTATGAAAGCCTGAGAGAATGTTTTCTCTCCATGTGACTCTCCTTAGGCATACTCTATGTTATTTTTTTTTTTAAAGGGTAATAAATGAAAAAAAGACACAGGAAAAAAAATATCCCAGGACTATCCTGCTACAATGTTGTATATGGTTAGATTTCTAAATTTCTGTGTAAAAATATGTAATTGCTTATTCATATTCTTTAAATATTTTTCATTTTTTAATTTTTTCTCCATATTCTATAGGGACTTAAAGTTTAACATATCAATACTTGATGGAAAATACCTGTTCCATGTTATACCTATGACGTTTGATATTCAGACAGATAGTGAGGTTAAACCCAACCACATATGTTGTAGAGTAATAATAAGCTTCTATTTTGGAGGGTTAACAACCTAAGTTTGCAGACCAAAAATTAGAGAAATAGAAGGGCTGCGAGGACAGCCTACATTTTGACCCTAGCCTTTCAAAGGCAGTGAAGACTCAGGACATAAGAGAACCTGTACTGTAATATTGTGTAACTCAGTTGTGTCCCAAATTTTCTGATCAAGGAGATTATGGGGCCACAGAGCAACATGACAGAATCTTTATCCTAAGAATCTCTGAGTATCACAAAAAGGACTTCAAATATGACTCTGCTAAGAATGTCGAGATAGGGAGGTTATCCTAAATGCTCTAGGTGGTTTAGAGTAATTACAAGGGTCCTTAAAGAAGAGACAAGTATGAAAGCAAATATCTGGCTCATCACTGTTGGATTTTGAGGGTGGATTGAAGCATGAGCCAAAGATAGTGGGCAATGTGTAGATACCAGAAAGACAGGAAAAATGAGTTCTTTCCTAGAGCCTCTGGAGAGGAATACAGCTTCATCTGCAGCTTAATTTTATCCAGTGAGATCCATTTTGGACTTTTGTATAGTCAAGTTACTGCTCTAGCATTTTGTTACAGCAGCAATAAGACACTAACAACCTCCATATAGCGGTTGTTATTTTTGTCTTCAAATGGTTTGCTCTATTTTCAATACTACTATCTTGATAAAGCACACTGAGGAAACAAATCATAAATATCCTATAATATATATATTTTCCCCAATAAATCTTCATCAGGGTTTTTTTCTTTTTTGTGGTGTCATCTTCTTTGGGATTGCATTTTTCTCAGTTGTGTTGGTTTTTCTTTTCCTGTTTGCTACATTACTATAGCCAGGACTATCTTATTAGACGGCCCAGTTGCAGTTGAATCTTCTCCATGAACTTGATGTGAGTTATCTAAGTCTGTTGAGTCTTGAAGAACCAACCAAGCCCATCACTGGGTCCTCTTGATGCCCAGGCTCTCCACTCCTTGTTCTCCAGAACTGCTGCTTTTTCCTGATAATTTGACAGACATTTCTTCTCTTGATTCAGTTGTGTAGTACCAAAACTGACTGGAACCCCTCCTTTTCGGTATGTGGTGCCCTTACTGTTTTTAACTCTTGGTACATTTTCTATTCCTTTACTATTTAGTTGGTAATATTCATGAGAAGCAGAATTCTTACCCAGAATTCTCTTTGTCTAAGATTATAAATTGGAAACAGAGCTTCTATATAATTTAGTCTATTTTTCTTAATTTCTCAGATGGTCCAACTGAATTTCAGAGACTTCATATTTTATCATTGAAATAGCATAGTTTTTCTTGTATCACCACTCAATTTCTGAGAGATGGGGTATGAAATAAATCTCAGCCATATGCCATTTGCCATCTCAACACTTGGGATTCCATTAAAGAAGAACTGTCACTTTTATTTATCTTTGTGTATTGTGGCTTCAAGTAGATAACTTTTACTTTTCAATTTTTATTTTGCCATCCTCAACCATGTAAGCCTATTTCACGTTTTTTTGTACTGGGGAGTCAAACTCAGGACATTGTGCTTGCCAGGCAGGAATTGTGCTGCTGAGCTTTATCCTCAGCCTGACTGTGTAAGTTTAAATAAATAGGAGGCCGTGACATTTTTCTGTTTAGAAAATTATAAAAAGTTGTACATGTCCCTGTTTATCTTTGTTGATAGTTGGTGTTTTGAAATTGAGATGCCATGCAATGTATGCTTCACAGTTGATTTTAAAAATTCTTTGTCCAGAGGAAACAAATGGTTACATGGGCTAAAGGAAAGTAGTTGTGTATTTATGTTTAGAATCTCTGTATATCATTTGAAGAAGGGAAACTTGTAAATTGTAAGCATTTTTGGAATTTTTTTAACTTATTAATGCAACTAACATCCATTTACCATTGAGTCCATCTAGTAGCTGCTACTATACAACAATGAATAAAAAAGCTAGAACTCCACCTTGGCCAATTTTTAGCCTTGAGAGAGATCACTAGGTAATTAAGCAATATTATATAGTGTATTAGGTGTTGTTGTAGGGAAGTTGTATGGATCTGCTGAAGATACTTAGCTGAGACTTAAAAAAGACTGAGGAGAATGACTCAAAGGAAAAACTTGGGGAAGGACTGAAACACTCAACTGCGATCCTTGAACCAACAGGATTGACATTAGCTGAAGCTCCAGTTCAGATCTACTGTGTCAGAAGTTCTTGGGGTATGGACAGCAATCTGTGTTTTATAAACCCCCCTAGGTGACTCTGGTGCAGGAAACCACTGTTGTCACTGATGCTGAGAACTGGAGATGAGAGAGCGCAGCATATTAAAACAGAATTGCAGCAGAATTTGAAGTCCTCAGTAGCTTGAGTTGAGGCAGGTAAGTCCTGATAAGATAGATCAAGAGCTTAGCACATTTGTACACCATTGACATGTTTTCAGTAGAGGAAAAGATTGCCTAACTTTGTCTTTTAGAAAAATTATTACAGAAGAGATTAGAGCTGAGTAGATGAAAATACTTAGGGAGCCAGTGTAGTAGCAATAGTAGTGATTACAAGGATGTAATAAAGTGTGTACTGGGTCAGTTAGCTATCAAGAAAATAGAGTGTCCAAGATTTGATTAGGGATATAAATGATGCAGAGGAGGGAAAAGGAAGAAGTACTGTGTTTGACTCTCAAGCCAACAGACAGATAGATCCTTGGAAAGAGGATGTACAAGGAGCCTGTTGAGGATCATGAAAAAGATTGTTTGAGTTTCATTTTTTAATATTGCAACTGGAGTACTGATGGGATAGTCAGTAACAGTCTCAGCAGAGAATTCTATATTTGCAGGTGGTTCAGGAAGGAATTTGTGGTTAAATATCTAGAACTGGGAATATTTGGGCTATATAGAGTAATTTAAATCTTAGGGTATAAATTAGATGACTCCATGGAAGCTTGTTCCATAAATGATAAGGTAAACAGTGCAGAACACATTCCTACTGGACAAGGAAGAGCAACTCTGAAAAATTACCAAGAATGACTAGCCAGAGAGAATAGTTAAGGTCCAAGGGATTATGCTGTCATGAGAGTGAAGGAGAGAGAGTCTTCCCAGAAGAGCTTTTCCTTTGTTTCTTATGCTGTGGGGAAGCCAAAGGGAGTAACTGTAAAGCTCATCAGAATAGCCACTCAAAGATACATGTGACTTTAAAGAGTATTATAGACCTTGTCTTAAATACTTTTCTTGTTGCAGAGACAAAATACCTGACATCTGCAAGTTAAAGTTAAGGAGAAAGGTTTATTTTGGATCATAATTTGTAGAGTTTTCAGTCCATAGTGAAGAGGCTCCAAGTCAGGAAGTCATAGCACAGGCTCATCACAGAAGAGAATTAGTTCATAGCATTGCAGGGAGAAGGCAGCAAAAGCAGCAAGCAGCAGAAGTACAATGCCTTCTCTCTCTCCCTTTATATTCCATCCAGGCTATGAATCTATTGATTGCTGGTGCCCACACCCATGGCAGGGTTTCCATTATTGCCACAGAACTATGCTAATTCTAATCAGTACACTAATTTAGTACTACACACCCTTAATCCCACTGTCTCATGGTCTAGAACCAGCCAACTCTGAAAAGCCCACCTATGTTCAGATGAGATTTTGTGGGAACATCTAGATACAAGCCATAACAAACCTCAAGAAGTTGATTGGGAATGGAAGAGTTGATAGGTGGGTGAAAGTAGAAGCAACACTGTGAGAAATTAGTGGTTGACAGACATTAGAGAGGATTTGGCTATGATAGAGAAAAAGAATCAACCCTGACAGGCCAAAAAGGGAAGATGAGACCACTAGAGAACTTTGCTTTGCTCCTTTTTAAAGGTGCAGAAACTTGATTTTAACACTGATGGGAAACTGGCCTTGGAGAGAGAGGGCAAACGGTAGGGAGAGGAAGGGAAGGAAAAGAGAAGGATGGGAAAAGGGAAGACCCTGAAGATGGAAGAGACAGGAAGCAAATAATAGAAAAAGGTTCTTGTAATTGTAGGAAGGGAAGAGTTTCAGAATAGTTGGGAGTCAGCACACTTTCCTATTCTAAGGGAAAAAAAGAAAGGGTAACTTTTCTTTTGAATGGAGAGAATTCCAATGTGGTGATTTCTTGTTTTCCTCTATTTAACACCTAGGGCCCTAAAAGGTTGAGAATAGCTGATCCATTTAAAACAATCATTGTGCAGAATATGTAGATTAGTAATTAGGGAAAAAACCAAATTGATAACAAAGTCCTACTTGAGGAAAGACATCATGAATTTATAATGGGACCAAACTGAAGATATGTGAATGTTCTCTCAACTTTCTAGAAAGCCTTAGGATGTATGAAATTAGCAACAAGTTGAATTCAACCAAGACCACCACTTTGGCAATACAGTGGGGCAAAGAAATATAAAGACAAGCCCTCTGTTCCTTTGTTTTAAAATTCCAGAATTTAAGCAACTATGGAGGCTGAAGGCTTATCGTAATTCATTTGGTGCCAAAACTCTGAATGAATTGATATGAGGATATTGATAGTTTTCGCTGGGCTAGGGAGATAGTGCCAAGGTGTGTCTTATTTACAATCTCAGGGTCCTGAGTTTGATCCCTGGTACCACATGTCATGCCAGCCCTGGAACCCCTGGTGCATGATGCTGGTGCCGAAACCAGGTGTGGTAGTTCTGGGGAGGCTGAGACAGGAGGATCACTATGAATCTGAACTGCATTAGCGAGATCCTGAATCAAAAGAATAAAACAAAACAAAAACAAAAACAAAAAAATTCCCAAAACTTTAAAAAAGAAAAAGCCTGAATTCTAAAGGATACCTGACCCTAAGATCTTTAAGAAGAGACTGTGTAAGGAATAAAAAAATTAAAATAAATTATTATGACATCTAAGTTGGAAAAGAGAAAAAGGGAGGGTGTTCTACTGGGAAAAGTTAGAAGAGTCAAGGACATAGAGATCTTCAAAGTACTGGGAGTGAAAAGAAAAAAAAATTGAAGCATGTAAAATTATAACAAGCAGCTGGAATATTTCCTATACTTTCAAAGAGTGAAAGTTCTGGGTGCACACAAATTCCAGGTGGGCCTGGAGCAGGGGCAGCTGGGTTGAAATGAAAGAGAAAGTCATTGGAAATGGGGTCAAGAAAATAAAAGGCAAGATAATTAGATAAATTACCCAGAGCAAGGGCAAGATTCCAGGTGCACTGGAACTTTGCGAGCCAGATTCTCTGATTTCTAATGAGTGAAACACAGTGAAAAGTGTGAAAGATACCCAGGGGTATTGAACAAGGGTTTCGCTCTTCTCTGGAGTGGAATCTCTTTAATAAACAGAAAAATAAAGCAATAAGTAATTTTATCCAGCATGTTATGTGTAATGTTAGAAGTGTGATTTAGAAGTTACTAAAGTCAAAGTGAGAAAGGAGACTTTGTAGATGTTTAGACAGGTAAAAAATTAGCCATGTATTTTGCACTGTTCTTATAACTTTTAGTGATTAGTAAACATTATGTACAACCATTGATATTCAGTAGACTATATGATCTCAAATAGTGGTTCAAATTGTCATATTTGCTAAGTTTTTAGAAACCATGATTTTAAAGAAGGTAGAATGTGAAATATTCAAGAAATGTGTCCTTATTCTAAAAGCCTGAAACATAAGGCCTTTGGAAAAGTGATATATTCAATGTGATATGCAACTTTCTAGTTTTTCTTTTATTACTTCTTATTTTCTAATTTTTCTGCTGTTTTTCACTACTGGGTATCAAACAAAGAGATGTTCTACCACTGAGCTGAACTCTGAGCTCCCTCTGCCCCATTATTTTTAGATAGGGTCTCACTAAACTGCTCTCTTGGGACTCCAATTTGAGATCCTTCTGCCTCAGCTTTCCTAAATGCTGGGATCTTGGATTGCAGGTGTGTGCTACTGTGCCTATCTAATTTTGCTTTAGTAGCCTCACTGGCTATATTATTCTGCCTTAAACTGCCTCAATCCCTTTTGACTTCAAATGAGTATAAATACTAAGAAAATATATTCTAATCATTGATGCTAAAAAATAAGTAAATATACTGTAAAGCATTTTCACTTCAAATTTGAAAGACATATTTCATGTAACCTAAATATGTTTCACTTCTTGTAGAGCAGGGTCAAGCATCAGCTACTGTTTGGAGGTTACATTAGGTTTTTCCAAAAGAAAAAAATCTCCTTGAGCATTGATGAATGCTATTCTGGGGTGAGGAGCTGTGGGGGTAGGCGCTGCTGACCACAGGAATGTTGAATGTCAGATGCTGCTTTGGCCAAAGAGGCCTTGGTGGATAGTGACCTCTTGGAAATGCTGAGACCAGTGGTCCTTGTGGGAACCTGCATCGCCAAATGTCTGTTACTGATGGAGCGTACTATGTGAGCATAGAAACGCAGAATAATAGGGAATGATGCCCTAAGTATAAACCATCTGTGTTTACAGATTTCCCAAGTAGCAGGTCAAAAGAGATTTCACGATGGTAAATAGTGCAATTGCAGTGTTCTCCAAAATTTTGTCTGTCTCATTTATTTTAAGTAAGATTTCTGGGCCATGTGGCTTTTCTAATAGACTTCAGTGACATGCAACCACCAGCTAGAGACCTTGTCATTTATTTAACTTCAACTATCTTTAATCTTGAGGACTGTAGAAATCTTTGGGTTTTAGGATAATCATAGACTGGTTTTGCAGGTTCAGATTTTCAGATTTTTTTTACTGTTGCTATTTTGCCTGCCTGTATCAGAGAAGTCTTGTCGTTATCTGTGCATTTTAAATTTGAATTTGTGTGGTTTTTTTTTTTTTTTTTTTTTTCTCTAGTTTTTGGAAGTCATTTTCCTCTTTTCTTTTTTAGTTCACAGCCATGAATGAACCACAATGCTTCTACAATGAGTCTATCGCCTTTTTTTATAACCGGAGTGGAAAATATCTTGCCACAGAATGGAACACGGTCAGCAAGCTGGTGATGGGACTTGGAATCACTGTCTGCATCTTCATCATGTTGGCCAACCTTTTGGTCATGGTGGCCATCTACGTCAACCGTCGCTTCCATTTTCCTATTTATTACTTAATGGCTAACCTGGCTGCGGCAGACTTTTTTGCTGGGTTGGCTTACTTCTACCTAATGTTCAACACAGGACCCAATACTCGGAGACTGACTGTTAGCACATGGCTCCTTCGCCAGGGCCTCATTGACACCAGCCTGACAGCTTCTGTGGCCAACTTGCTGGCTATTGCAATCGAGAGGCATATCACAGTTTTCCGGATGCAGCTCCATACACGGATGAGCAACCGGCGGGTGGTGGTGGTCATTGTGGTCATCTGGACAATGGCCATTGTCATGGGTGCTATACCCAGTGTGGGCTGGAATTGTATCTGTGATATAGAGAATTGTTCCAACATGGCACCCCTCTACAGTGACTCTTATTTAGTCTTCTGGGCCATTTTCAACTTGGTGACCTTTGTGGTTATGGTGGTTCTTTATGCTCACATCTTTGGGTATGTTCGCCAGAGGACTATGAGAATGTCTCGGCATAGTTCTGGACCCAGGCGGAATCGGGATACCATGATGAGTCTTCTGAAGACTGTGGTTATTGTACTTGGTAAGTTCTGTCTTCCTTACTTTATAGGTTCCTAACATCTTAACATCAGCTATATTAATTTATGGTAGTAGTAGACAACAACATGAATATCTTTCTTTCTTTCTTTCTTTCTTTCTTTCTTTCTTTCTTTCTTTCTTTCTTTCTTTCTTTCTTTCTTTCTTTCTTTCTGGTGCTGAGGATTGAACTTAGGACCCTGTGCTTGCCAGGAAGGTGCTTATTCTACTGAGCAATCTCCCAGACCCAACGTGGATATTTTCAACCTATATGTGCAGGAATTATGAGAGGATCAGGTACTTTTCTCTTAAATATCTGTGACAAGGCTTGCAAGTCTTTCTACAATCACAGAATCAGCAAAATATTGGCCTCAGTGCTATAATATAACAATGGTGACATAAAACATATCAGAAGAGTCTGGCTACCTTGTAGTAAAAATACACACTAGAATCTCCAGTTGACCAATTTCATTTAGCTTCTGAAGGGTTTCCTTAGACCCTAAATTGTGAAACTTTTGCCTGTGGTCTCTATAATCCTGATTTTCAGAGAGAAGGTACTTTTTCTAATATCAACATGTTTTCATATATAATTATTTTCATTCTATTTCTAAGTAAGTTATCATTCACATTCTGTAATTGTTTATTATAAACAAGTAGATCAAGGTTTTGTATAGATTTACCAAACAAGGATTGGTAACGATATTTTGTGATAGTAATCTTCTTGAAAATTTGTTAATTCCTGTTTATGTAGGAGAGATGGGTTGATCTTATAGAAAGAAAAGTACTTGGCTGTCCAAACCTCATCTTATTGTAAATTTGTATGTTGACAACTGGTTATTTTTGTTGTTTCAGATTAGTGTTTGATGAGTTTTTTAAAAAAGAAAAGTCTTCCAAAACAGGCTTTAAGGCTTAGTGGTATAGCTCACTAGGAGAGTATCTGGCTAGCCTGTGGGAGGTGCTGGGGTTAATCCAGAGCCATAAAGCAGATGGACGCAAAACCATGGAGAAAGCACTCAAAACTTTTATCAGTGCATCTTTTCCTATAGAAATTCAGTGCAAAGTTCTTATAATTTTCTTTGTTCTGTATAAAGCAGAACTGAAATAGTGTAACCTGGGATTATATGTATTCTCTGAAGCACTGGGAATTCTGCTCACTTTGTCATTGGAGGGAGACAGAGCCCCAACTATCATAAATGAATCAGCATTCTGATTGGGGCCTTGATCCCATTCTGTCTTGGCTTGGGTGACTCCATATCACAGAAATTATCTCTAGTTCTGTTGACTATGACCTCCCTGTAGACGTGTAGGAATGAGAAGTACTTGGAGTTGCTGGCACAACTAAATCCCTGTCTAACTATCCGGACCACTTAAGTAATATCCGCATTAGGGACTCCCATCAACTCAGATGATAATTTATTATTGTTATTAATTAATTAATTGGCACAAGGTTGTGCTATGCCATTTGGGCTTGTAGTGATTCTCCTGCCTCAGCCTCCGCAGTGCTGGGATTGTAGGCATGTGCCACCACTCTTGGTTTTGGTAGCTGGCATAGCATGTGCTACTGGGGATCAAACTCTGGTCTTGTGCTTGCCAGGCATGTGCTTCAACTGCCAAGCTAACTCCTCAGCCTAACTCAGATGATAGACTGCCTTATTCCATCCAAGAAAGCTGAGTGGCACTATAAGAATAGTTTATTTATATGTTTAATTATCAACATGACTTTGAGTATCCTGGTGCTAGAAGGATAAATTTTACATGATATAGATGAAACACATCTTAGTTTACCATAGACATTATTTTTGTATAAAATTAATCAACATGAAATATTTTACTTCTATATTGATTTAAATATTTGTTTTCTAGTGGTCTAAATGGTGATGGGTATTTTTCATCTGTGCTTTTTGTTGTATTATATACTGCTTCTATAGTTTATAGCACCATCAGTTGCAAAGAATTATTGAATTTGGACTATGAGCCTACCAAATTCATGGTTTAATATTGACCTTTATAATATCTTGCGTATCCTGTTGTGCAATGTGCTAAGTGATTCATGTGAAAGTAACTTTTGTGTCTCATTGAGGTTTTCTTGCAGGTTGAGAAAATTATTTTAAGGGTTTATTTATTTATTTTACTTTAAGGGCTTATAAGGCTATAATTCCAGTGTATATCTGCCCTAAACACTTCTAGGCTTTTGTCCCAACTCCTAGATCACACAAAAGCCAAAAAACCCAGAAATATTGTTGTCTTCTGAGAGTTAAGGGAGCAGAATCCATAAAGATGGTATTTAATTAACTTCTTCTGGAATTGGTAACACTATATCTATAGCTATGAACTGGAAGCTATTTTAGACTATGAAAAACTTCAGCCAGGGTGATAGAAATTTGCTGAGGCAAGGTGGGAATGTGATTGTAATATAAAGAGCAGAAGCTAAAAAATGGACTGTATCTTTTGTGAGAAAATCATCAAGAAATGGAGGATAGGAAAGATCTAGGGAGAACAGTGTTGGAAATATTAGAATAGGGAATCAACAGTCCTAAACAGTCAGCGTTTATCAAAGTGATGCTATTGGCATTCAAATATGTACTCCCCTGCTTGGATTTTGTTTCATTGGAGAAACAAGAGTTCTGGTCTACCTGCATTTCATTGCATTGAAAATTGGTGTACTGACAGTTTGTTCCTTTTTGATTTTACTTTGATTTGTGGACATTGGTTTTTAAACTATCTTCTCTGCCAGTTTGTCAGGTCTTTGAGGGTAGGATGAGATTGTAATGTTGTGTTGTCAGTTTTCTCCTCATGGTCTGCCACAGTTATCTAGCACAAAGGAGATGTTTAGTAAGTAATTAATGAATGAATGTGGTAACAAAACCAAGCTTCTGAGCCTTCAAAATTGAAGAAAGCCATAGTGAATTCACTAAGGTACATATTTCTTTATTCAGTTGTACAGGAGCCATATCTAGCTCTATTTCTATTTTGTGCTTCCTCTTAATAAAAGTATACTTCCTGGAAAATGAGTGGCTAATAAAAGTCACCAGTAATAAGTCTGCTCTGGTTTCATTTATTCTGGGGCTGATTAACTGTGGACACTCTTCAGTTCCATTTTAACCATGTTGAAATAACTAGGGTTGGTTGGTGAACAACTGAGTTACTAGGAGTCAACTTAAAAATAAGGATCCCCTTGCCATTACAGCCAGAAATACATAGATAAGCTGATCTCCAGTAAGTATAGGATCTTAATACTTACTTTTGTCAAATACTTCTGCAACATTAATCATGTGCCTTGTCCTGCCACATTCTACCTTACAAATTAGCATTTGAAAAGAATAAACCCTAGGGAGGATAGATATTGTTATTAATTTTCCTGGGGATAGAACCTGAAGGAAATGGATGCTAGGTAACTCCTCCAAGGCCATAGAGCTAGGAGGTGTGAGAGTCGGGATTCAAGCTTTGGCATTTGATTCTCGAGCCTGTGTGGTTTTCACCTCCATGCTGTACTTCTTCTTTAGAATAAAAACAGCTACCAATACATATGGTATTTGGTAGTGAAGTTTGAACAGCAGTATGTTATTAAGTAGAAACAGTGCCATCCTATTAAGTACCCACCAATGCTGCCCAGTCTTGCTTATGCTTTGTGTCCATAGGCAGAGAAAGCTTTAAGGGAACATTCCTTTCTCTGTTTCTAGCGCTGCTCAGCGCTTTCATTTCCTTTGCCCTTTGCTATTGTGCGATGTTCGATGTTCGATGTTCGGGCACCACAAGCTGCTTGTCCTTGCGAGTGTTTTGTTCCAGGTGTGGTTAACTCATTCATTGTCTTAGCACAGTCACGGAACCTCTGCCTAGGCTTGATCCCCCCTCCACTTGACATTGTACTAAGAATTCCTCTAGTGTCTGTTCCATGGTTGAATCTGTGACAGTCAAGATACTCTTCCTTACTTGACTACAGGCTATCCTTAGTTGTAAGTCCTTTCCTTTCTGGCACTATTCTTTGTGATGATGCATCTGTTGGGGATAATTAAAGAAGAGAAAACCCAGAATTTGGGAAGAGAAAATCATGGTAAAAATACAGAGGTTTTTGCATCTAAGTCCTAGGAGGGACATAAAATAAATTAATAGGGGTTTTCTCTTTGGGGAAGAAGAAAGAGACACTGTTTTTTTTCTTGTTTGATCTGTTTAGGCTAGAATTGATTGTCCCTGAAGATACATTAGCCTTATGTAATTGTCTGTAACTAGCACCAAGGAGAGTTGCGCCCCCCTCCTGGTTTTATGTATGTAGTTCCCAGGTTAGGATAGGATAAGTCACTTGTCAAAAATACTTCTTTTTGTAAGTGGAGATCTGGGATTCATCTCTAGAAATGTTGTGGACCAAGGCCTTCTACCACAGGACCCTGAGCCCCTTTTTCAGTTTAGATCATCACACATGGTGTTGATTGCCAATTATATGCCCAAAGAGGAAAAAAAGAAGGAAAATTTTTTACAGAGCTTATGTTGTAGTAGAGATCAAGAAAGTACCCCAAAGTAGTTGGGTCCATGAACTAGAGGTGTGACCTGAGTGGAGGTGAAGGAGGTGAGGGTTTCCTAAAGCAGATTCTTAATTGATAATGGAGGAGTTGTCATACTGTAGCATGGGTGGAGGAGAAGGTGGGCGATAGCACAAACAAAGCTATTACCTTTGAAAATTGAAAGTAGTCGGGCATGATGTACATATCCTGAATCATCTGGATGGAGTTTTGACTGGAATGTCGGAAGTTTTCCTAACATACTAAGGAGTAGGGGTTTCAGCCATGGTAATATGAGATGCTAAAGGGATCCACAAGAGAAATGGATACCAATTTCTTATAGGTAGAGTAGTCATAAATTAATCATCCAAACACAGGCACTTTCAGCAAAGAAACAAACACGACCTGGTTGGACTCCCCCCACACTGTTCTGGGGCGTCCAGAAGCTACAGTTACCTTTCTCCTAGACTTGGCTTTCTATTTATAGATAATGTATGGGTATTCCTTCTAGGCT